CTATGCAGCCATAAAAAGGGAAGAGATCTCACCTTTTATGACAGCATGGATGGATCTGGAGAGCATTAGGCTAAGTGATCAGCAAAGGACAAGTACCAAGTGACTTCACTCACATGTGGAATTATTTTAAGTCTATTTTATTGATTATGCTGTTAGACTTGTCCCAATTTTTCCACCTCTGCCCCCTCTATCTGAGACCCCCTTCCCTCCAGCAATTCCCCTCTTAGCCCCTGTCCATGGGTCGTGCGGTGCAAGTTTCACTATCTGACAGACAGTGAAAGGATAAGGAAATATTATAAATAATTTTAAGTCAATATATTCCACAATTTAGAGGAAAATTCCATGAAAAATGAAACAAGGGGAAAATGGAATTTTAAATAGTTTTATATCTACTTTAAAATTTTAATCAGCAATTAAAACTGTACTCACAAAGAAAACTTTAAATTTCACTGGTAAATCCTAGCAAACATTTAAGAAATAAATAATTCCAATTCTACACAAACTGTTGCTAAAGCAGAAAAGGAAGGAACATTGCCAACTTATATTATGAGCCCAGCACTACTAAAATACCAAACCAGAAAGACATTAATTCTAAATTCTTTCCTGAGAATGTGTATTATTTTTTTCAACAGGAAAAAATTTTCTCAAAAAAAAATACAAAAAGGGAGAAATAGTTATCATATAACTTGAGGCTCCTGAATCACAGTTCTATAACAAAACGTTTCATTTCAAAATCTGGGCGCTTCAACTCGTCTATGCTTCACAACCTTTTTCATGTCAAGACACACACAGAAAATCACGTCTGTAAGACGCCGAACAGTGAACTGACGAGGTGGCTGGAAACTGGAGGGGCCCCGTCTGAGCCTGGGCTGCCAGAGGCCCCCGGACCGGAGGAGGGCTCACGGGACCTCAGCCACCCACAGCAAGCAAGCTGCGGCTCAGCACAAGAAAGCTTGGGGCCACAGCACCTCGCCATCAGGAATACGAGGACAATCTCTCGATTAACACAGTGCAGCTTTAAAAAAAAAGTCTAATTCCATCTTCTGGTTTGAGGTCACTCTTCAATGTAGAAAGAGAAGACTGAATCACTCTTTATGGCCTAGCAAACAGAAGCAAAACAAGCTGCAATCCACATTTAAAACGCGTTCAAATGGCCTCCATTTTATAACACAATAATTGAGAGACACCAAAGTGGAACCACAGAGCCCCTATTTCGGGCTGCAGACTCCGCAACGCACAGCTTCGCAGATGCATTAACGACAGTTAGCTGCGTGTTTCCGGGCATCCACATGGAACAGCATTTGGCATACGAGAGTCATTCCCCTCAAGATGGGTCGGATAATAAGCGAATGATCATTACCTCACATTACATGAAATGGAAGGAAGCCATTAATGCAGCATTCAAGTCATAAATTCACACACTCAGAAGCCAACCGAATAAAACACCAGCTCTTCAAGCACTATCATCTCCTCCACGCTGCCACATGGACTGCGCACACTAAACGCTAACAAATACTATAATTTGTGTGAAATGCAGAAGGATGGAGCTTTCCGTTTTTATGTTAACTTGCCTATCTGTCCGTTTGCTCACAGGCTGAGAGCAGGTATCTGACACCACAGCTAAACCGTCCCCGAGCAGACGGCCCGCAGCTCAGACCGCTTCCCAGAAGCCCACAGGAGCCCCACCCCACCCCCCAGCCCTCCCCCACCCAGAGAGCAGTGTTGGGAAAAAGGCAATTGAATACCACCCTCCAGGTATTCTTCCGGGAACTTGTGAACCTTGCACATTATTCCAGAAAGGCCTGGTCTGCTTTAATAAGCACTGGTAAAGAAACTATAGAAAGTAAATTCAGAAAGTGCTAGCGTCCCAAACTTTGAAAATTTGCTATTCCCCCTCTATTATTTTTGAAGGATACCAAGCAAAATGGACTTATTTGCCCTACTGTTCCATTAATGGTATGTACAAATATCTGTGTACATCAGGAATAAAAACTATAAGTATCATGACAATTATCCACAAATTTATTATGCATACTATGAATGTATTATATAATAAACATATACTTTATTCATACACTAGCTCACAAAAAATCATTTTAATAGTTCCCAAGTGCCAATACCCACGTGATAGGGTCAAAACTTCTATGCCAAAAATGGTGTGCCTAGTGGGAGTCGGGCACCGTGCTACGCACTAGCAATAAAAAATAAGGAAATAAAAAACTTTGAGTAAACAGGAGCCCAGCATGCAAAGGGTTACAACTTAACTGGGAATCGGACCGGCAAGTCAACAATGAGAAAAGCAAAAGCAGATGACGACACAGGACCAAACCAAGTCCTAAGGAAACATGAAGAAAGACGGTGGCGAGAGGGCGGGGAGGGAAGGATTCCAGAGAAGCTGATGCTGGAATTCGTTATGCACAACTAATTCACTGAGTATAAAGGTGGGTGCTTCTGGGCAAAAGAACTCTCCGTGGGAAGGCACGTAACACACAGCGGGGTTGGAAAACTGCAGGCTGATTCCTACCAGAACACAGAACATGTGGCAGGGGGGCCTTACAGGACAGAGAGACTGTGGAAGGTCTTGTGTCCTGACTCAGGAAATTGAATCTGTGCTCTACAGTCAATGGCAAACAACTGACAGGTTTTAGCAGAATAACAGCAGTAGGAAGTAGCAGTAGTAACAGCTAATGTTTCCTAAGTACTGAGAGAGTGTCAGACATTATGCTAAGAGCTTTATATATATTAGCACATATAACTTTTCCACGACCCAATCTATAAAATTAGACTCATATTGCAGATAATGGAGACTCAGAGAGGAAGCGTAACTCGTCCCAGGTTACATATCCAGATGACAGGGGAGCCAGATTCGAAGGGAACCTGGTAGAATTCCCTTTGAACAATGACGAATTCGGCAAGCAGTGCACGAAGTGTGGATCAGTGAAGAGCACACAGCATTAACCCGTGCCAGGAGACAGCCACGAGAAAGCAGGCAAAACACATTCACAGCCCGAAGCAGGGCTGTGAGGGCTGTGTGCAGACGCGGGAGGCAAGAGCCACTGGATCAGACTGCCAGGACTTGGAGGTACAGGGGACGCTTCTCTGCTGTGTCACCAGCAGGCCTGCGATGACCTGCCTATCTCTCTCTGCCCTGAGCGGCCACAAATCTTAAACCTAGGTAGCCTACCTCTGCCCCCTCACCGCAGACACACACAGCGCCTGGGACAGTGCCTGGCAAGTACTGGCAGCTCAGTGAACATGTGTGGGAGAAAGAGGGAATGGAGAGAAGGACAAAGAAGCAAAAAAAAGGTCTATACTTCCGGCTAGATACAGGTAAGGGCACCACTGACCATCCAGGGGACAGAGCAGAAGAAACAGATAACAACAAGGGGCGATAAGCTTTTACATAAACATGTAACAAGTTTTACATCTGCTTTTAAGTGACAACACAGAGTGGGGCAAAAATAGGCATGCAGTTGGTCGTGGGAAAATAATACAATAGTTAATAATAATAACACAAGAATAAACTGTTTCACGTACTCACCACTGTAAACCTACTTCTGCCCTACCTTGTACATACTATGAGTTAAGGTAACTCCCAAAGAACTCTATTACTACCTTATCCACTGGTATACGTGGAATTGTTTAGGAATACTGATGCAGGCACTAAAAAATTACCATTCAAGCCCTGGCTGGCGTAGCCCAGTGGATTGAGCGCGGGCTGCAAACCAAAGTGTCGCAGGTTCGATCCCCAGTCAGGACATATGCCTGGGTTGCAGGCCATAACCCCCAGCAACCGCACATTGATGTTTCTGTCTCTCTCTCTTTCTCCCTCCCTTCCCTCTCTAAAAATAAACAAATAAATAAAATCTTTTTTAAAAAATCACCATTCATATGAGAACTGAAAACATTTTTAAAGCATTTGACTCTCAGTCTTCTCAATGCATCTGCATGGCTGCCAACAAGAACAGCCAGGGGGAACCGGCCCGGGCCACGGACGGACGGTGCACCCGACGAGGAGCCTGAGGACCAGCACTCGGTCCCGCGGGAGCTCAGGAAGTGCCCTGTGTTTCAGCCTCTCGCAGGTTCCAAAACGGTCGAGGCCTCCCTTCTCCGGGCTCGCTTTTACTGTCGAACTTTTATTTTATCCTCATGCTGCTGTAAGATGAACCTGCATACCACGTTCTTCCAACTGAATGAGAAAACACAGGCCTGGCACATGGAAAGGACACCACGGACGTCTGTCCTCATGACGGCCAGGGTTGTTGTCATCATGGTTCCTGCGACTCCTGCCCTGCTCAACGGACACAGGGCCAGGCAGACAGGACTGCAGGTCCCGTAAGGAAAACGCTGCTGAGGACGGAATCACTCCCCAGCCGCTCCTACCTCCGCTCATTCTTAAGGCTGCTTTCCGAAGTCACTTTTCTCAACAGTCAACTCACGCTCCTGTTGAGGGACCAACACCCAGCCCTGTGCTTTTCCCCCAGCAGATGGATGGCTAAAGTCTGTGACAATGTATCTGAGTGTCTGCGTGAGGTCAGGGACCAGGCCTTTCTGCTCGCAATGACACCCCTAGTGCCAGGCAATCATTCATACATCATACAAAACGCTCAGCAAATTCTTGCTGACAGCATCAGAGAATAATAAAATCCCAGATTTGTTTTCTACTAGTCGCTATCTGACCAACTCCTGACTTATACCAAAAATATTTACTTCTTCATGGAATTCAAAATAAAATACCGACACTTGCAAATACTTTATCACAAATCTGGCTTAGACTTTTTAAAAAGTTTTAATTTCAAATTCCTCCAAAATGCACATCCTAAAGCAAAAGTAAGGCAGTAAGAGAAATCAGTTAAGATTTGTGAAAATTATTGTAGCAAGCAGTTTTAATAATCCTTGTCAATAAATACATATTTAATATTTATTCTGACTTTTGAGAGACACTATAAACGACTAGAGATTTGAAATTTTCAATTTTTAGATGCTCTGGAAACTCTTACCTTGACATTTCCCAATAACAGACGTAAAATCATCTTTCGCAGACCTGCAACACAGGCACACAAGTCAGAGGGCAGTTTTGCTGTAACGGCACCGTGGACACTGCTGTGCAGCCAGACACAGCAGACGGGAGGGCTTCTCTGCGCAGCACTGCGTCCCCCCCTCCTCGCGCACAGGTGGTTCTACGCCTCAGAGAAGGCCCATTCGCTAGCGACAGTATTCCCTTCCTACCGTTCTTTTTCATCAGAAAGGCAGCTACCCCGGGAACCAAGCGGCACAAGCACCGGTGAGTGTGAACACGGAAACAACCAGAGCGCCCTGCAAAGGGCGACTGGGTAGGAAGACGCGGTGTGCCAATGGAAGACAATGGAACACTACGCAGCCGCAAGAATGGATGAAACACAGCTATTTGCAACAACACAGATTGCAAGGTCCTCGAGAAGACTACGCTAGGCACAATAAGTGAGACAGAAAAAGCCAAGAATCACAGGAGTTCGCACATGTGTGCGATATGAAAGTGAAAGTAAAAAATGAACAAATACAACAGACAGACAGACAAAAACTCACAGACACAGACAACGGTATGGCTGCCGCCAGAGGGAACGGGCCGGGGCGCAGTGAAAGCTAAAAGGGGTCAAACACATGGCGATGGGGAAAAATCGGGCCTTGGGTGGTGGGCACCCAGTGCAATATACAGAAGACGTGTCACAGAAGTGCACACCTGAAACCCACACGACTTTATTGACCAGCGTCACTCCCAACACATTTAACTCAAACAGACAAGCGGTCACACCATGAGCACAACTCCCAGAGAGACGCATTTCACGTCACTGCGGCAAATGGGAGAGGAAATGCCAGCCCCTTCCTGCGGATAACAGAAGTTCAAATCCTGTACCAACGGGATGCTACACGATGCTGCTAAGAAACAGGAACCTGCCTAGACAGCCAAGCCAAAGTAAGTGATGTAGTGTTGAGAGGCTTTCATTATTGCCAGTGATTTTTATCCCGATGGTTTTAGGAGGGATCACAGAGCCTCCCTGTCGGAAGTCTACACTGCAGTGGGGGCAAACCCTTGGACCACTCCCCAACAAGATGAGGGGTCCAATTCTATTTGGATAAACGGGAAAAGAAGGAAATTTCACAACCGGAAGCTAAAATCAGTGTGGTCACAATTGAATTCTCATTAATACTGTCTGTTGTTATTCAAGAAGAATGAAGTAGCAAAAAAACCTTTGGTGTCTGTCCAGGCATCCTGAAATTTCTGCCCCATTGCTCGTTTTCTGAGAACTAGGAGTTACACCTTGCCCGGGCAGAGGAGCCATCCCCACTTTTAGAGAGGCCATACGTTTTGTCTGCTGTTCATTCATTTCCCAAAGAATGAACTTGTTTTCCTGAGCGAGTCGCTGTTGTTTTATCTCTTCCATAACTGATGCATTAAATAAAAATAAAACGCATGGAAAGCCCAGCTAAGAGAAGTCTTCTTAGATGTGTATGCAATGCCACTGAATGTCTCAAGAGGACAGGGAATATCACTGGGCCCAAGTAATGCGTAGCCTTGATCTCCTGCAGACCCATGGTCCATCCACAGCTTCACGCCGACAGGACAGAAGGGCCCCTACTTTTCCGTGCCTCCCTGGGCATCTGCTCAGCAGATTTCACAGCACACAGTCAAACAAGAGGATTTCCAGACTTCTGGAAAATATGTGTCATCTACTGAGAAAGTGAAATTCTTCAAGAGACAGGAGAATGATCTGAGAAAGTGGAAAGACACACATCCTCCTCTAAGAAAGTACCCTTCATCCTTTAATTGGCAAAATTGCTGTTTGACACCTCAGCAAATTATGTGAGTTAGCAGTAAATCCCTTTAGATGGGCCCCCTTTAAAACTCTTAGTTGCCATAAATCAAATACAGTGCTTGTCAAAGTAAATTTTTAATACAAATATTAACAGTTACCTGATCTCCACACACTGATCTTGAACAGCGGCCAACAGTTTTCCATTGCTGCCACAGGGGAGACAGGAGAAAGAAAAATCTGTGTGAACACTTGTAGCAGTCTTCCCCACAGCTGGAAGGATTTTCAGAAGGTAAAATCATTTCTTTCCCATTCTTTCATCATCCATCTTTGGGCCTTACCATCAGGTGAGCATTTGGTACAAAAGCACACAGAATGATTCAAATATAGCTTGAATTAACACGCTTAAACAATAGTAACCATATGTGTCCAGGGGAATTTATAGGCAATAAATACCAAGATTTTAAGCCATAGGACCCCAAACCTAATCCCATAATGAAATGTAAGTGCTAATCCAGGTAGAGAAACATGATATGGATTTCATACACCCTTACCTTGCAAGGACCAAATGCCAGTTTGTCTGTTTGTTAACCAAGCGAACCAGTCCCTCAGGCAGCAAAAAGGGTGCAGGGCTGAAACCACAACACATCAGCTCACTTAAAGTGTAATCATGAAAACCACACACACACACACACACACACACACACACACACACACACACAGTAAAAGCAGAAAACACTGGAGCTAGTCCTAAAGAGCCAAAGGTCTCTTTTATGTAACTATATTATCTCTGGAGCTTTTAAGATTAGATGTCCTCACGGAAAAAGCTATCTGTGGTAATTCCATAAAACAATTCCTACACACATATCTAAAAGCTGAATTATTTCCTCTGTCAGAATAATCAGTTTTTTGTTCCTTTTAGGGCTCAAAATTAGCACTGTGCCTGAAAACATGCATGATACTCAAAAGAATTCAGAAGTACCCAAGAACCAAAACCCAAGGAACTTCCTCTGATACACAGCAGCTGAATACGGACCACAAGAGGGAGGTAACGATAAAACAAAAGTTTCTTAAAAGCTTTGCAAGCTGCAGACCCATCATGTGGACAGTGAAGATAAGGCTGAGAATGCTCATCGGTGAAAACAGAAGCTATCATGAACTATTCTGGTAAGGACCCCGGGAACAAAAGTTACCCTGGGTCTGTCTACTGAGACGCCCTATCAACGCATGCCCAACGCTGGAAACGTCTGTTTCATGAACTGGGCTCAGCTGAGTGTCAGCATCTGTATCGCAGTTCAGTTCTGAAAACTTAAACCATGAACAGGCAGTACTGTTTGTGCTTGATGTTCACACTGTTTCTCTGTGCAACTGGCGACTCACCTGTACCAGATGTATTGGCGCAAAAATAGTAAGTGGTCTGTAATGAAAGGAATAGCAGAGCCAAATATCAATCAGCTGTTCTTGAGGGATCATTTTTCAGATTAGATCTCTTGATGGTGAAAATCTAAAACACACTGCAGACTCAGTTGTTACACAACAAACGCGAGTACAAATCTTAAAGTAAGAGAATAGATAAAATCTGATATACGCTGTAACTTTGACAAGATTGTGTATTCGTTTATGGTAAGTTCCAAGCTGGTGTACTCTAAATTTTGAAGTATTTCCTAATAATATAAAAAGTCAACATGATTTATTAAATTTTGCCAAAAGGCTTTAATAAAACAGTAGAGTATAAAAGTTATAATAATCACCCTTAAAACCAAAGTACTTTTATAAAAAATTAAGACAACATTTTATACTTTATAGGAAAGCTTTAAATAATAATAATAATATCCAAAAATGGGGAAGTCCACAAAAAACATAATCTCTAACACACTACTGACAAATAATGTTTCATGTGACCTCATTTAAAATATGTATGTGTGTGAACATGTGTATACACTAAGTATGTATCACTGGGAAAACGTCTGAAGGACAAAGATTACCCCTGGGTGGCAAAAGGAGGGATAATTTAATACTCACTCTACTTAGTGGTTATCTGTATTCTCTAAATTCTCTATAATAAACTTTATTACTTGTATACATTTTGTAAATTTCAAAGCACTTATGATAACGAAAACTGAATGTGCTAATGCTTTTTGCATCAGAAGAGGAAATTATTTTATCTTTGCCAGATGATAAGAGAACACAGGTGCCCTGGCTGGTGGTGGCTCAGTGGACTGAGTGCCGGCCTGCAAACCAAAGGGTCGCCGGTTCAATTCCCAGTCAGGGCAAAGTCTGGGCTACAGGCCAGCTCCCTGGTAGGGGGGCATGCAGGAGGCAACCACACAATGGTGTTTCCTTCTCTTTCTCCCGCCATTCCCTCTCTAAAAATAAATAAATAAAATCTTTTTAAAAAATATGGGTCATCTGGAGTATTCACCTCCTTTGCAACTGAATCTTGTCTTTAGAAGTAACACTCACCAGTATAACATGGTAAGGCGTTAGAACCAGGAAGCCATTCAGTGGGATTCCAAATGCATGACCTTGGGCAAGTTTCTCACCTGACACATAAAGTCCTAACAGCACCCACCTCACTGGCCGGTAACGGTTTCTAACAATGAATACAGTAAAGCCCTCCCCGCACAAGCTCAATGTGCCTCCTGCTCCAGACTTCCTCCGCTCTGGGAGCTCAAATGCAAAGTCTGCCAGAAGTTAAATGAATGCCCTGGTTAATCAATTTGTAATTTGAATAACTCTGACCAGATATACCTGAAACATCATGTTAACCCCTTAAAACAACCTGTCACTATTTTTTTACTCTCACCAGAGGGCATTTTTTCACTGTTTTTAGAGAAAGAGGAAGGAAGAGAAAGAGAAGCATCAATAGGCTGCCTCCCGCACACGCCCAGACCAGGGATTAAACCTACAACCTAGGTATGTATCCTGACCGCGAACTGGACCCACAACCTCTTGGTTATGGGACAACGATCCAACCAACTGAGCCACACTGGCCAGGGCTGGCTTTTCATCCTCAAGGTCCGTACTGTCTGACACTCACACTGGATTTGGTTTTCTTCATTTCTTTGAACACATCCATAATGGTTAACTCGGGACATACACTTGCTCTACAGTGCATTAAAAGTGTGTATGTACACACACACCTGTGTATATATACATACCGCATATCATGAAAATATATACATGTATAAAATTAAATGCGAGTAACATGTATGCCCTTCACTTTCATCGGCTGCTACACTATAAGTCTAAAAAACATATTTTAAAATCCCTAAGATTGCTAAAACAGCACAGTAATGAGAGAAATGGGGGGAAATTTTCTGCTAACTATATACTTACACACAGAAAAATAAATAAGTTATACTTACCTCTAATTGCTTTTGTGATGATGAAGGATGCACCATGTTTACGGTTGCCTCTAGGCTGCAAATATTAAAAAAAAACACCTTACATTTAAGAATTTTCTAGCAATCCTTACACAATATGCAAAAGTTCTACTTCTTTTGTGAATGCTCAGAGCGCTGGGTACAAATGGGCAGTCTTTAAAAACTATTTGTGGACAGAAACAAGGAGAAGCAGGCCTGGGAGTGGTGGGAGTACACGTGTGTGAGGGTGAATTCTGCACGGGACAGGAAGGATTCAGGCTGGAAACTATTTCATATCAAAACCTTGGTCCAAAGACGAGAGAAGTCAAGGGCAAAGACCGCCCTAGAAACCAATTCAGTTCAGCTGGGGGATCCAGAGACCTAAAACAAGTTTTGCTTGCAAGAAGGGGGGGTCATACAGATCAATAATCTCATGTCTGGAGGCAAATTTATTGAATATTGTATATCCACAGAGAAAATGCTACTAAGGCACACACTGACATATAATTTCTATACTAAAGAGTTGAGCACATGAGCGCGAGCTGCAAACCAAAGTGTCGCAGTTTGATTCCCAGTCAGGGTACATGTCTGGGTTGCAGGCCATGACCCCCAGCAACTGCACATTCATGTTTCTCTCTCTCTCTCTTTCTCCCTCCCTTCCCTCTCTAAAAATAAATTAAAAAAAAAACGCTTTAAAAAAAAAGAGTTGAGCACAGACTAAACACTGTGTGGGCTAAACAATTCTAGGCACTACAAATACTGAATAAGATGCACTAATGTGCTGTTAAAAAAAGGAACAATGGACATAGAGTAAATGCAGACAAATATGGCTGAAAAGCCCAAAATAGTTATCTCAACAAACATGAAATGACCATCCACTTCACAGAAGGCACAATTTGGTCCTGGGAAGGGATATAAAATGAATCCGATAAAAATATAAAGAAAGAAAGAAGTCAGGTATAGCTGCCCTCCAAGAGCCTGTTGTCTGACAGTTGAAATCAATAGAACAAGAAAAAAAGTGCCATGAGGTTTCAATGTAAGTTGATACTGTGCTTATTTTTTAAATCAATTTATAACATGAAGCATCCTGAAACACTATTATAATTAATCAGTGAGGACTAAAGAGTGGAAACTTATCCTTATCCAACCAATAGCAGCAGCAACTGCTTCCTGTGCATAACCTACAAAATATTCACACTGTTAAAAACAAACAGAAACTAAATAAATACCTGAAAAAAACAATAATATATACAGATCTCTGTCAGCCTACAAAATACATTATTCAAGACAAGCAGAAACAGCATTGGGAAGGAGGTTAAAGGAAAACGACAAATTTTGTAGGAGAATGAGCAAGAGAAGGAACAGTTTCTCCAGTAAAGAACCACTTTAAAAAGATTTTGTAAAAGAGAATGTATATGAGCTGGACACCATGACCTTTGATAAAAGTCGTTCTCGATCTGGCTGCATCATCCGAGCCTAAACCAGTGACTGGCACATGTTAGGTGCTCACTAAATACCTGCTGGATAAATGTGGACTCTTACTCTTCACCCCGTGCCTGGGAGGTCCTCTCCAGGGTTCAACTGATAACCCCAAGTTCCATTCCAGGTTACCAAGGCCTACGACCCCTTCTTTAGCAGAGAACCCAACTAAGGCATTTTGCTCAACGGAGAAATGCTCACTGGATCGCCTCCCCTCTGGAGTGCACGCACCACGGAAGTTTTTCACCTCTGTGCGCCCAGAGCCGGGCACAGTCTCTGGGACACGGACGGACACACACATACACGTATTAAGTGCTTACGTATTGAAATACACTAGAACTGGCACGGTTCCGCTCCAAGCAGGAGGAAAGGTTTGATGCCACGCTCCTGGGCAGCCCGCCAGAAGGTGTTAAGACTCTGGGTGCTGGAAAACTCCCACTACAGCTGAGAATCAGACCTGCCAGCCCGCGGGACCGGACCCCCGAGAGGCAAATACCAGGACCCTGGAGTCCCTCGCGGCAGCTCCCCTCCAAGGACCGCCAGTGAGACAGAACCAGAGCCCGAGGTTCCGACCCGCGACACCGCATTCGGAGCCAGGAAAGAATCTCAGGAGCCCGGCTTAGGGGACCCAGACCCCAGCCGGCCCCCGTGCCGTTGCTAGGACAACGGGACAAGCTGATGAGCCCGGGAGCCCTGCTCCACTCCCCTACGTGGCTCTTCCTACGTGGCTCTGCCCGGGCAGCACCTGCGCCAAGCGGGCCACAGCTCTAGAGGGGCCGGGTTCACCTGTACTTCTGTCTCCGGGGGCCACTCGGTGTTGACCAACAAGTCGTAGAGGATCGTCTCCTCCTCGTCCTCCGCGGTGCCCGGCATCACAGCCCGCGCGGACTCGGAAGCCTCCATTGTCGCCCGGCCCCGGAGCCGCGGGAGGAGGGGCCCTACGGCATCCCGCGGTGGACACGCTTCCTCGGCCGCGGCCGCTTTAAATTCTCGGGGAAGGGGGTGGGGTTGAGTGGAGTGGAAAGGAAATGTTAGGTTAACCCTTTCAGGAGCAGGAGAGACGATGACTATTGCTTGTCCGATGTAGGACTGGGTACCACTGAGCTCCTTGCTTATTAATCTGCGTGACACCAGCCAAATCTGAACCTCTTATCCAGCCAGCTTCTACGAAGTAAAAATAGTAAAAGTATCTCCCTGAGATGCCAGCATTCGTCTGTGTATTCTTTGCCCAACACACAGAGAAAGAGTGCAAACAGTGTGCAAGGAGCGATGCGCCCCGACAGACGAAGCTGATGAAAGGTATCAGGGGAAGTACGGAGTCTCAGGAAAAGCAACGAAAGCCAGAGGGTCTCGAGGGGCTTCCCGGAGCGGGTGCAGCTTGTCCTGGTGGGTCTTCACCAGTAGGCAGAGCTGGAATTAAATGAAGGTCTGGGCAGAGCCTTCAAGAGCGGCAAGTGGGGCGTACGAAGACGAAGGCAGAAATGTACGGTTGAAAGAGCAGGCGGCGGACTAAAGCCCAGGCTGAGACCGGGCGTGGAGGCGGCGAAATGGAGACGTTCGGGGAGGACCCGCAGGGAGGGGGCTGAAATGCCGGCCCGCTCCGTTCACTCCTTTGTTCATTCATTCAAGCCACAAGTGCCCCTGGGTAGAAAGCCTTGTGCTGTAAACAGGGCCTATTGTAATGCGAATGAATACCCAGGACAGCGCACCAAGGATTAGTGCCGAGTCACCTTCAAAAGAAACAAAAACTGAAGCATTCTTGCAGGGGTTATCATACGCACGACGTCCATCAAGGTGCACTAGGCAGTGATGCAATGAGAAGCCTCCACTGGGAGCCCAGGGCTTCCTTTTTCTCTCCAAGTTAGAGACCTCTCGGCACGCCCTCGGTGCCCCGCTCTCCACCACCCGCACCACCTGTAGCCACGCCGGCCCTGCTGTTTCTGAACTCACCAGACACACATCCCCTTCAGGGACCTTGTGTGGGTTGTTCCCCCGCTTGGAAAGCCTTCTACCCGATGTTGGTCTGGTTCCTCTTCCTCACCTCCAAGTCTTTGTTCAAATGTCACCTTCTCTCTGAAGCCTACCCTGACTGCTTTGTAAGTGTGCAAGGACCTTCCCTGGCCGCCAGCTCTCCAGCTCCCCAGCTCCCCAGCTCCCCCACACCTTCTGTATTTTTCTCCCTAGCACCTGGCATCACCCCAAACACTCTTTAATTTGTTCATTATATTCGTTCATTGTCTGTCCCCATTCACCAAAATGTAGGCTCTTCCAGAGCAGAGTGCTCTGTCTACTCTCATACATTCAGATAATACAGCATGGGGTCCACTCTTCTCTACTGTGTGTTTCTTCCCCGTGGGTCTTCTTTACTACTCACACAAACACTTTACTCTGACACTGCTTGTCACCAAATATGTGGAGGTTTTTCCCCCAAGACCAGCAAGCAGTCCCCAGGCATCAGAAAGGTGCCCAAGAATTCAACTTGATTCTGACACTATCTATCCTGAGACCCCTCAGATCCCACAGGCTAAGGGCTCAGGCCCACAAGACTGCCCACCTCCTCCCCCACACACATGTACACACACACACACACACACTGTGCATCTGAACAACTGACTATAGATCAGAGATTTCAAAGACCTCCTCCATGGGTTTGATGAATTGCCTAGAACAGCTCACAGAACCCAGAAAAATCTTTACCAGTTTCTTAAAGGATATGGTGAACAGCTAGATGAAGAGAAACATAGGGCCAGTGACAATATCCCCAGAGTTTATAACAGGGCCTTGAACAGAGACAGGACAAAATACATATTACTTCTTCAATGGAAAAAAAAACCTGCCCCAAAAACCTTTTTGACACATTGTATCTGAGAAGTACTTCTTGCAGCAGCTTTTCATCAAATCCTCAGCTGCGAACAGCAGACACCTCTGCCCATGCCACCAGGGCTGTCACTGTGCCCTGCTTCAGGGACCACGTCTCAGGATGGATGCTATAGGAGGTGACCCCACCAGGTGGCACACCCTTCACTTGGGGAGGAGGAGGGGCCGCCCCTGGAGGGGAGCAGGGCCTCAGCACTGCCCCTTCCCTTTTATGAATACCCAGTGTCTTCAGCCCTTGACTCTCCTTCCCTATCTCATCCTTTCCTAGGTAGAAATCAGGTCGCCTTCAGCTTAATCCATCCTCTTCGCCATCGATCAGCACAAGCACAGCCAGCGGGTGGCTGGCCAAACCAACGAGGGCTGCTTCCTTCCTGGCTGTGAAGGAATCGATTGCAAATACATCACCGAGAATTGTTTTTTCTCTACCATAGTCCCACTATGTCAATTGCTTTATTCATCCTCACCCTGACCCCAGTCACCATAGTTTGTCCAACAGAGCAGAAAACCTAAGGCCATGCCTGCTGGACTCCTGGGAGCTTGTATTCTGCAGAAGCAAAAAGCACAGACAAAAAAGACATCATTTAGAAAGTGACTATGCATTTAACGGGAGGCAATTCCTGAAAGGGAAAGTCTACTTCCAGAGGTGCTCTGAGCAGCCGGGCAGATTACAGAGGCTCCTTCACCACGAGTTAAAATCCAGAGGAATCCTGGGAGGGGAGGAAAGTGAGGTGACCAGTAGGAGGGAAGAAAGTGGTGAGAATATGTATACCCTGAGAAGGGCTGCAAGTGCAGACGACCAGACATTGGGGCTGGGAAAGAAAAGGCAGAGATGTCACCAAAGTTCGAATCAAAGCTCAGCTGAGTCGAAGGAGCAGGGAGGTTTGAGACAGGGAGGGTGGCTGAAGTCCAACGGCCGATCGGTCTTATGCACATTGACTAGATAGTTACTGGTCCAAACTGACACAGTTTTGAGACTGAAAAGTGATGACTTTAATAATTATGATAGGGAAACAGGAATGAAATAGGATTGTCCCAGGTAAACCGAGGTGACAGTCACACTAATCTTTTTTATATATCTATTTCATTTATTTATTTTTAGAGACGGGGGAAGGGAGAAAGAAAGAGGAAGAGAAACCATTGCTGTGAAAGAGAAACATCGATTTGTTGCCTCTCATACACGCCCCCAACCAGGGACTGAACCTGCAACCCAGACTTTTGCCCTGACTGGGAATCGAACCACTGACCTTTCTGTCTACAGAACGATGCCCAGCGGAACCACACTGGTCAGGGCGAGGTCACACTAATCTCAAACAGGAAAGTGGTTGGTTTAATGAAGAGACCTCAGGCATTTCACAAGGACAGCAGGACTCTTTTCTTCACCATAAATCTCTTCTCCTTTCTTCTCTCACACTTACGCTGACAGCTATCATTTTTGTGTGCCTAGGCCTTTGGCTTCCTTTGCAGAACTGTTCCACTGTTCTCCTCTCACTCAAGTCACACAGGTGTAGTGGGGCTGCCACTCCCCAAAGCAGCCTCCTCGATCCAAGTCTGTCCACTCCGAGAGCCCCCCTCCCCTGAGCGCTGGGCTGAGAACGCTTCCCTGAGGTTTGGGGGCAGGGGGATCCCTGGAAGTGGGGGGGAAAGCCCCCACTTTGCTTTGGGAATCACGGAGTTTGAAAAATACAAGTTTGGGGTTGTCCACAGCCCTCTGATTCACTCTACAGGGAAAGCCCATCTGCACGGTGAGAAAATGAAATCGACACAGTGAGAAAAACACGGGAGGCAGAGACCTCACCTGGCATTAGCATGCCTGAAACGAGCAGCAACCCGGCGCTCCAGGGAAGTGAGCTGGTGCATGGCCCGTAAGCTAATTCGTGTTTCCGTGCTTTGAAACCACGGCTCTCATGGCATTCCTAGCTTTGGCAGAACCACCTAAATTAGAATCTGTAGTATGTGGGTCTCTGCAGTGCTGCCTCTGAGTTGCCAGTTACCAGTGCCTCCATAGTGTTGTGGCGTTAATACAGTGATAGAGCTCACAGAGTTCCTGGCTCACAGAGCTCCTTTGTCCTCACAGCTGCCGCTGAGAGGAACAGACAGGCAGGCACCTGGGAGATTCTGACCCCATTTCTCAGATAAAGAAAACTGAATGAAGCTCAGAGAAATCCCAGATCACGACTGAGCCCAAATTCAAACACACTTCTTCGGGCCTCGAGCCTGTGCACCTTTGCTCACACACGGCACGTCATGGGAAGACCGACGAGCACTTAGATGGTTGAAAATGAAAATGAACTGTCTTGGATGACCGGAAGAAGTGCCAGCGGGTGGGAGGGCAGTTATCAGCCTCCTATATTCGGGGGAAATGAAGTCTATCTAAGAGTTTGATTGCTATGCATACACTGAGTGTCACAGTCATCTAACTGACTTCTTACTGTAGCTGACAGTCCAGGTCTAGCTTAAAGAGATTCTAAGTCATGAGCAAGTCATTCTAAAAGGAAAATTGTGCTTTCCCAATAACCAACACCAACGGTAGTTCGGTGAGCTGCTTCAGGAAATGAGACTAAAAAAGATGGAGAATTCCAGAAGGCATAATAATAACAACAGTAAAGCTGATACTAGTGTGTGTGTGTGTGTGTGTGTGTGTGTACGGCAGGTGCTGTTTCAGGCACTTGGTTACACCTTGTTGCGGCCCCTCTCCCCAGTGCTGCCAGGACAGGGTGGACATCCCCATGCACGAGGAAACAGGGCTCTAAATCAGGTTACACGCCAGCAGTGGTGAAGCCAAGACTGAAACAGTTTTTGTCTAATTTTGAAATAGTCAATAGAGAAGGGGCCATTCTTATTGGCCATTCTCTATTGGCCGTGATGTGGCCATTTTAATGAGAAGTAATCTGATGTTTTTGTAAGCCTCTGATGAGAGGAAGGGAAAAAAAAACAGAAAAAACTTTCCCAGTACTTCCTATTATCATAGCATATCAAGTATGCCTCAACTGAACTGAAATGTAATTCTCATCCATTCTACTGAGGGCCAAGGGCATTACCACCTCAGAGTCAGACAGAAA